GAATCCACTCGATGGCAGTGACCTTGTTTTTTGTTTTATCGCCCGAATGGCCATATTCAGTACTTCACTGCACCATAGCTTGGATCAGGCACACCTTAGTGCTCAAAGTGACAGCTTTGCTTTCTGACACTTTTCTGAAGGTCTTTTGCAGCAGATTTCCCCAATGCAATATGTCATTTGATTCCTTGACTGCTGTTTCCATGGGTGTTGATTGTGCATCCAAGTAAAATGAAATCCGTGGCACCTTCAGTAACTTCTGCGTTTATCATGCTCATTGGTCCAGTTGTGAAGGTATACTGCTTTTTGTGTTTTTTTTGTGTGTACGTATCTCATGTCGCCACTAAGCTCTGCCTCTTACTAGTATGATCTTGGACCGGCTACCCCCACTTCCTGTGCTTCCATTTTCTTATCTGTCAGATGGGGATAACATAGCAAGGTGGTTTGGCTGGTGAAATGAACTACCACAAGTAAAGCTCCTACAAGACGGTCTGTATTTGTGATGCCCTTGGAAGACAGTAGCTGCCATTTTGCGTTTTAGATGTTTGATAAGTACTTCTGGATTAAGGAACACTGGTGAATATTCCCACTTGGAACCTAACACAGTACTTCTTGAATAAACAAATACTTCTGCATACCCCTACAGAAGCTAGGACAGTGTTTTAATAAATGTTGTAAGCAAAAACGGGTTTTGCACAGATTTATCACAGTGAGGCCAGCCATCCTCTCAGACGTAGGGAGCAGAGCGTCGTGGTGTTGCCAGGACAGATTTCCAAGCTTTGTGTCAGCCGGGCCACTGCCCCAGGTCTCTGTAACCAACCTTCCTCCCTCTCTCAGTATGCCCAGATCTTGAGGGAAAGACTGCGAGACTCCATACACGATGTCCAGTATGTGGAGCCGCCCTTCGATGACTCGATTGCTGACATAGGTAAAGAGTGGAAGAGCGCCCTGGCAAAGTTAAAGTTTGCTAATTCATACAGAATGGAGCCGCTGAAGAGATTCCAGGCCCATACTGTAGAAATGAAAGTCCAGCAGATACTAACGGTAAGTGCACATCATGATCAGGGTATCTTGGCTGTGTAATTACCCCCACCCATAGCAAGATTTATGGCAGTCTCATAGTGCCCCCCCCCTTATTTCTGGTAGCATTTATCTCTGGAATCTCAAAGTATAGTGGAGGCATTGCTCAGGAATTTCCACATGGAGGCCCTCAGGTAGACTAAATGGCATTTTCTTTGCTTATTTCATTAACTCTTAATTATAGGTGATTTATCCCTAAGGTCCCACTTTTCTCTCATTTTTGAAGAAATGACTTTGGGAAAAAAAAAAAAAAAACATTGAGCATGTGCAATTTGTGAAAAAGGTGTTCCTGGTTACATTAGGAAACCTTACAAACAGGCAGGTCCCAATTTATCCCTAGGTGGTTTTCTTGCTTCCAGGATGAACCCACTGCCATTGAGTTGATCCTGACTCACAGTGACTGCCGTTGGGTTTCTAAGGCAGTAAATATTTACAGAAGTAGACTGCCTCATCTTCCTTCCACAGAGCCCCTCAAGAAGATGGATTGACACCGTGGCTGCAGCAATAGGCTCAAGTATAGCAAGGATTGTGAGGCTGAAGTAGCACCCTGCAGTGTTTTGTTGTTGTACATAGGGTTGCTATGAGGTGGAGCCAATTCAACAAGACCTAACAATACAACAACAGGGTCTTGGTAAGGAGCTCTAATGGTGCAGTGGTTAAAGCATGGGGTTGCTGACAGTTCAAACCCACTAGCTGCCCCACAAGAGAAAGATGAGGCAGTCACGTAAAGATTGACTACTTTGGAAATCCTGCAGGGCAGTTCTATTCTGTATTTTAGGGGTGCTGTGAGTCAGGCTAGACTTGATGGGGGTTGGTTTGGTGTTTTGGTTTGGGGACTCTGCAGCTGGGCTGACTCCAGACCTGCCTGGGAAGTTTCCCCTCAGTGGTTCCTGTCCTCACAGCCTTTCATTTCCCTCTCATTCTGAATGTGCAGATGCGGGAGAACGGGTTGATGACAGAGACTTGCATTATCTGCTGGGTGGAGATTGCCTATACATGGGTTTTGAGGTGTCTTTGCTCTGGAATCCTTCATTTCTATTCCTTGCTGCTTCAGATATTCACTATAGTACTAGGGGTGATGGAAGTTGTCAAAGACGCCATCTAGTACCGGGATGTTGGGAACTGTCTAAGATGCCATCTAGTACTGAGGGTTATGGGAGCTAGGATGCCATTGTAATACTGGGAGTGATGGAAACTGTCTAAGATGCCATCATAGTACTGGGGGTGATGCGAGCAGTCTAAGACGCCATCTAGTACTGGGGGTGATGGGACCTAGGATGCCATTGTAGTATTGGAGGTGATGGGAACTAAGACGCCATCTAGTATTGGAATGTAGTACTGGGGGTGATGGGAGCGGTCTAAGACTCCACTTTTGAGATATGTACATTAAGGGGGAAATTGACAGGCAAATAAAACTGTCTGTCCATCAATAGAATGCATGAATTTGGATCAGATCCTGGCTTAAGCAAGCAAAAAAAAAAAAAAAATACAAGTTATTCCTGGGCCCTGGGGAAGTTTGTGTATGGATGTGAATATGACTCAATAGTGCTGACTTTATGGGTCTCTGGGAGTTTATGTCGTGATGTGGTAGAGATTACCTCATTAGGCAAGTATGCTCTGGCACCCAGGAGTGAAGTGTCAGTGGCACACCCTTTTCTAAATGGTCCCCAATGTGTGTGGTCAGTGGTCCCCAATGTGTATGCATGTAGGGACAAAGATGCTCCAAGTTGTTGGGTTTGGATGGAGGGTATCCATGTATTCATTGAACTTTTCTTTCTACTCTATGAACATTTGAACTTTTTCCTCATAAAAAGTGGTGGGAAAGTGCACAGCTGTCTTTGCTGAAGGAGGTTTCAGCGTCCGCTGCATCTGACCACTTAAACTCATTCTCTCCTGATGGTGAAATGTGCTGCTCCCATGCTTTCGACCAGAAGGCTAAGATATAGAGACAGAAGAGTGTGCCAGGGCCCATGTGCAGCCCTTCACCAACACAGACGTGGGCACTGGCTAACCTGAGCTCATGCTGTCTGGTGACCCCTCGGGGCCTCAGTCTAGCAGGGCAGGGAGGGAAGGTGGGCTCTGCTCTGTCTCCATTGCCTCACAGCTTCAGAAAAAAATGCTCGGCTTCATCTCATTGGTGACAATCTGCTTCTCTGCTCCGAACACTAGGAGAAGCGTGTGGCATGGGAGCAGGCGCATCTGGTGTGCCTCACTCAGCCTTGCCACGTAGTGAGTGTACGCACATCTGCAGCGTCTGACTCTACGTATACAATGGTATCTTAGTCCCATCCTCCCCAGACTGCAATGGTGTTACACAAGTTACACTGACCTCCAACAGTCAGGTGCTCAGATACAAAGACACAGCAGGTGGGGTCTGCCTGCAGCAAGAGCCAAGCACTTAAGTCCTGAGCCTTAAGTATTGGTGATGAAGAACAATTATCCATAAAGTGAATCTCAAAGGAATGTTCCTCAAGACTCTGAGTAAGTTGGTAAGTGTAAACTTCGTTGGCTGTATTTAGTAAGGACTTGGGGCATTTGTCAATGTTACATGTATCAGTCAAACAATGTTCTCATTTGCATTTTATAGAGTAAATATTTGCTTTGAAAGTGAAATACTTTTCTTAAATTTTTTTCAAGGAAAGTCTCAAAGATGTGAAATACGACCAGAAGGTCTTCTCTCACTTGTCGCTGGATTTGGCAGACCGCATATTGTTAGCAGTCAAGGAGTTTGGGTACTCCCGTTATAAGTTCATTGTAAAAATATTATTTATTCAAAAGACTGGCCAGGCAATAAATGTGAGTAGCTCATGGATCCAACATCTACCGCTTAGCACTGTAAGATGTCTCTTTTCCATGTTGTTGTTCTTATGTGCCGTCGAGTCGTCTCCAGCTCATAACGACCCTATGTATGACAGAGCAAACACTTCCCGGTCCTGGGCCAGCCTCACGATCCCTACCATACATGAGCCCATTGCTGCAGCCATCATGTCAGTCCATCTCATCTAGGGCCTTCCCCTCTTTTATTGACCCTCCACTTTACCAAACATGGCATCCTTCTCAGAGAATGGTCCCTTCTGACAACATGACCCAGGTAGGTGTGATGAAGTCTGACCATTCTCACTTTCAAGGAGCATTCTGGCTGCACTTCTTCCAGGACAGATTTATTAGTTCTTTTAGCAGTGCACGGTACTTTCAGCATTCTTTGCCAACACCATAACTCAAAAGGATCAACTCTTCTTCAGTCCTCCTTATTCATTGTCCAGCTCTCACATGCATAACAGGTGATAGAAAATACCACAGTTTGAGTTAGGCACATCTTAGTCTTCAAGGAGATATCTTTGCTTTTCAGCACTTGAAAGAGGTCTTTTGCAACAGATTTGCCCAATGCAACATGTCTTTTGATATCTTGACTGCTGCTTCCATTGGTGTTGATTGTAGAACCAAGTAATATGAAGTCTTTGACAACTTCAATCTTTTCTCCATTCATTGTGATGCTTCTTAATGGTCCAGTTGTGAGGATTTTTGTTTTCTTTATAGCAAGGTGTAATCATACTGTGGACTGTAGTTTTTAATCTTCATCAGTAAATGCTTCAAGTCATCCTCACTTCCAGCAAGCAAAGTTGCGTTGTCTCCATATCTCAGGTTGTTAATGAGCCTTCTTCCAATCCTGATGCCACATTGTTCTTCATATAGTCCAGCTTCTCAGATTATTTGCTCAGCATACAGATTGAGTAAGTATGGTGAAAGGATACAACCCTGACACAATCCCTTCCTGATTTTAAATGATGCAATATCCCTGTGTTCTGTTTGAATGACAGCTTACTGGTCTATGTACAGGTTCCTCATGAGTACAGTTAAGTGTTTTGGAATTCCCATTCTCCTCAATGTTATCTATAACTTGTATTATGATGCACACCATCAAATGCTTTTGCATAGTCAATAAAACACAAGTAAACATTTCTGTTATTATTTGCTTTGAGCCAAGGTCCATCTGATATCAGCAATGATATCCCTCACTCCATGTCCAGCTTGCATTTATAGAAGTTCTTTGTCAATATAATGCTGCAACCATTTTTTAATTATCTTCAGTGAGAGTTTACTTGCGTGTGATAACAATGATATTGTTTGATAATTTCCACATTCTGTGGGATCACCTTTCTTTGGAATGGGCACAAATTTGGATCTCTTCCAGTCACTTGGCCAGGTAGCTGTCTTCCAAATCTCTTGGCATAGACCAGTGAGTGCCTCTAGTCAGGCATGCGTTTGTTGAAACATCTCAGTAGGTATTCTGTCAATTCCCGGAGACTTGTTTTTTGCCAATTCCTTCACTGCAGCTTCAACTTCTTCCTTCAATACCATTGGTTCTTGATCATATGCCACCTCCTGAAATGGATGAGGGAGCTCTGGTTGCATAGTGCCTAAGGCATTTGACTACTAACCAGAAGGCTGGCAGTTCAAACCCACTAGCCACTCCTTGGAAGGAAGATTGGGCAATCTACTTCCATAGTGATACTGCCTCAGAAACCCAAAGAGGGGTTGCTATGAGTTGGATTTGACTCGATGGCAGTGAGTTTGGTTTTGGTATTTTGAAATGGATGAACATCGACCAATTCTTTTTGGTGTAGTGACTCTGTGTATTCCATCCGTCTTCTTTTGATGTTTCCTGCATCATTCAATATTTTGCCCATGGAATATTTCAATATTGCAATTCAAGGTTTAAATTTTTTCCTTAGTTCTTTCAGCTTGAGAAATGCTGAGCATGTTCTTCCCTTTGGGTTTTCTAACTCCAACTCTTGGCACATTTCATTATAATAATTGACTTTGTCTTCTTGAGCTGCTCTTTGAAATCTTCTGTTTAGCTTTTTTATCCCATTGATTCTTCCATTTGCTTTAGCTACTCTCTGCTCAAGGGCAAGTTTCAGAGTCTCTTCTGACATCCGTTTTGGTCTTCTTTTCCTGTCTTTGTAATGACCTTTTGCTGTCTTCGTGGATGATGTCCTTGATGTCATCCCACAGTTTCTCTCTCCATGAGGGGGTGTTTATTGTCATGAGGCTAGGGAACTTCAGGATCCAGGGTGCCTTTTGAATGAAAGGATAATTTTGTTAAATACAGTTTGTTTAACTATAAACAGCTTGAAAAGCACTACCCTAGCAATGACAATTTCCTATCAAAATGTATTAAATTGTAGGACATTGTTTTCCTGATCATACCAGTTTTGACAATTTAATGTAATTTAATAGTTAATTCACCAGTCCCTTTGTCATATGAAAGGAGCTCCGGTGGCGTAGTAGACAAGGCATTTGATTGCTAACCCGGAGGTCAGTGGTTCAAACTCATCAGCTGCTCTGCGGAAGGAAGATGGGCCGATGTACTTCCAATAAAGGTTTACAGCCTTGAAATCCAATGGGGGTTGCTATGAGTCGGAATCAACTCGATGGCAGTGAGTTTGGTTTGGTTTTTTCTTTGTCCTACAGTGATGGCTTGTATGTTGCTGTGACGCCAGAAGCTGTGCCACTAGTATTTCAAATACTAACAGAGCCGCTCATGGTGGACAGGTTTCGGCAGAGCTTGCAGACTAGGACAGACTAGGAAGGAAGGCGTGGTGACCTACTTGAGAATTTGCCAGTGGAAATCTCATGACCTAGGAGAGGATTGCATCTGATAGGGGACTGGGCAGCATTTCGTTCTGTTGCCCATGAGATCACTGTAGTCAGAGCTGACTCGATGGCAACCAACAACAACATACTGATTTGGGGCATTAATGGGTGTTAGGTGCTAAGGAAAATATAAACAATTACAAGACATAGTCCAGGATTCTCCAGGAATTTTGATTCTAGTGAAACCAGTGCAGTTTTGAGTTTAAGGAAATGAGGGAGACATGAAGAGCCTAGGTTCTGGAGCCAGGTGTCCTAATCGTCAGGTCCAGGTGTCCTAGGTCTAAGAATCCCAGGTCAGGTGTCCTGGGTCCAGGCACCCTTGGTCCAGGTGTCCCAATCCAGGAGCTCCAGGTCCAGGTGTGCTAGGTCTAGGTGTCCCACGTCCAGGTGTCCCGTGTCGAGGCGTCCCAGGTCCAGGCACCCTAGGTCCAGGTGCCCAGGTCCAGGTGTCCTAAGTGTGCATCTTAGCAATAGCACAGGCCAGCTGTAGCTGTGGCCTTGGCCTGGTCCCTCCAGTGACAGAGCATCACCATCACCCGCCTCCCGGCGCTGTTGCGATACAAAAGGTGATGGTGAAATCCTTCCCACAATGGGCAGGACGGAGCCCTCAGTGAGCAGGGAGTCATTGTGTAAGTTACAAATAACGGTGCCCCTGCATCAGGCTGCATGGTGGCTAGTGATTTGGAGTGTACATGGGCAGGCGGGGAGAAGAGAGGAGAGCCTTTCTGAGGCAGGGAGGAGGGCATGGGCGGCTGAAGGCCCAGAGACTTGGGAGGCCGACTGTGAGCTGCGGGAGGCTGCTGTGTGAGTTCTAGCGGGAGAGGAGAATTACTGCATTCACACCTCCTCATGTGACAGGAAACAGTGCAGGTGATGACAAGCGCTGGGTAGGTGATGGGACAGGGTGACGGAGTGGCTACATGAGTGGCCTGGAGACAGGGAAGGCCCTCTGACGTGGGAGTAACAAGAAGGGGCTGGCTGGGCAGCAGATCAGAGAAGGTCAGGAACAGAAAACTTCTACAGCAAAGATCCTCAGCAGGAAGTGACTCGTGCTTGCTTGGTTAATGTCACTGGAGTGGACTCAGCTAGCGGGGAGGGGTGGGCTGTGGGGGGGTCACTGGGACACCTGCAAAACACCTCTGCCCCCACATGTAGTGGCTTAAAACGACAGCATTGCAAGACCAGCTTTGTGGTTCTTCTGGCCTTGCTCCTGCCATCAGGGGACCTTGTTGGGGCTGGAGGTCCACAGTGGCCTGACCAGTCTGACTACCTAGTGCATAAGCAGTACCCCTGTCGGCAGGGGCACCTGGATGCCTCTGCACTGGCCCCTCAGCCTCCAGTAGACAGAATGGGCTTCTGTGCACCGGCTCAGGACAGCGTGCTAGCAGGCCAGAGCAAGAGCGGGGCTGCATGGTGTCCTACCTGTTGGTCACAGTGAGTCACAGGCCAACGCACATACAAAACCAAACTAACCCACTGCCAGACAGTTGATTAGCGACCCTCTAGTACTCTGGTGGCGCAGTGCCTAAGACATTTGACTGCTAACCATAAGCTTGGCAGTTCAAACCCACCAGCCATTCTGCAGAAGCAAGACTTGGCAATCTACTTCTGTAAAGATTTACTGCCCCAGAAACCCACACAGGGCTTACTATGAGTAGGAATCAACTCAATGGCAATGAGTTTGTTTTTTTTTTTTTTTTTAGAATGCAGCACAGGACTGCCCCACAGGCTTTCCAAGGCTGTAATTTTTATGAAGCGGACTGCCTCATCTTTCTTCTGCAGTGAGGCTGGTGGGTTCAAACCACCAACCTTTTGATTAGCAGCCAAATGCTTTAACTGGTACATCACCAGATCTTGTTACTCACATGCAAGGGGTGGGAAATAGACTTAAGCTCTTGATGGGAAAATCTGCAAAGCATTTCTGGCCCAGGTCCAACCCACTGCAGAGAGGCTGCAGTCAGACGGTATATGGCATTGGGAGCCAAGCGAAGATGTTAGTTAGGACTTCAGGAGCAGCCCAGTGGGATGATTAATGTCGTCTCCATTTCAAGTGGAAGTTGTAACAAACTTGCAGTTGAAAATTATTTAAGAGTAGGTGGGCTGACTCCTTGTCACAAAGCACAGCACACTAGGGCAGTTCATATGTGGCGCTGGCAGTTGACATTGACTCCGTGCTGCCCCAGGTGCACACAGGCCCTTCTGGGTAGGTTTGAACCACCAACCTTTCGGTTAGTAGCTGAGCACTAACCGTCTTTGCCGCCCAGGGTCTCCTTGTGTAGGGGCTTTTCAGCCGCCTCCCAGAGCAGCCTCGAGCCCCTGGGGCCCTTCCCTGGGAGTCAGCGTCAGACAGCTGCCACCACACACACAGGGCAAGGGCTGACTGGCTGAGGAAGCTGCACTGGCCAGTCTTGCCACGGAAGAGAAAAGGGACACGTTACTTTGAAAATAAATCTTTCAGAGCTACCAATGCATCTTTTTCTTTGAAAGAGATCAAATTTATTTAGATTTAACAATTGCTTCTTAAAGTGCTTAATCTAAAGTCGTTTTTTTTCCGGTTTCTCCCACAGGTTGCCAGCAGAGGGCTCTGGGACGTTGCGTGGGACAGTTGGGTCGCAGCTAAACATGAAACAGAGAGTTACATTGCCTTGGCCTTGGTGTTTGCTCTGTACTGTGAATAGCTTGTCACACGTGTTGAAGAGCATTAGCGTCTAAACTTCTCATGTACAGATGTGCAGCCCCCTTGGTAGTTTTGATCATCCACATTTTTATCTCCAATCGGAGTGTCTTACATTGTATTCTTTTAACAACAGAAAGTGTGGACCCTTCACATACTGTTTAGGTTCTAGATTCCCATTGTCTGTGCTGCTGCCTGCCGTCTTCTGAGCTTTAATGAAGCCCACATACATCCTACACATCTGTAGTGCTAGCAGCTCTCATGCCCACCCATCCACAAACCAAACCAAACCAACCACCTTGAGTGGATTCTGATCCACAGCGCCCCTAGAGGACAGAGTGGAACTGCCCACAGGGTCTCCAAGGCTGTCAATCTTCATGAAGCAAAGCCCAACCACACCCACTGCCATGGAGTCTATTCTGACTCACAGCGCCCCTAGAGGACAGAGGGGAACTGCCCCAGAGGGTTCCCAGAGCTGCCAGACTTTACTGAAGCCCACTGTCCCGTCTTTCCCTGGCTAACCTTTTGGTGGGCAGTTGGAGCCTTAACTGCCGCAGCCCACAGCTGGTTTAGACACCCTCCTCTGTACTCCTGACACCTCTGGGGATATTTCTGCCATTCCCCCACCCTACCCCCTGCCACACCCATGCACGCATGGAGGCAGCATCACCCCCATCATCCTCCCACCTCTTCTTCCCCTAATTGAGGCTTGTGCCCAGAAAACACAGGCCTTCTGTCACATAACCTTCCCCATGCCTCCTCGGCAGCCAGTTCACCGTGAGTCACCCTGAAGACCCCTTACCAACGTGCTAAATATTAGGGGCCATAGCTTCTGAACCGATTGTCCTGTAAGAAGCCGTGAGATCCCACTGCAGGAAATGCTACCTAAGTGTCTACTGTGGAGATCCAGATGTGCTCTGACCTGACTGCCTGCTTCTTGGGGAGGTTGACAGTGACTTCTGGAACTTCCTTCAGGGGCTCTACAAAGTCCCCCATATCCCCTACCCTCCTCCTGATGTGTTTGGAAATTTCCTTAAAAACAACTGACTCCTTCCTTCAGGACGAGCCCCCTGCAGCCTTGCTGGGGGAAGTTATTTCTCGTCTGTCCCTCACGCCCAGGGCCTTTGCTGTCACAGCTCTGTGGCTCCTAGGCATTTATGTCGTCTGGACACACAGTCATCTCCCTGTTGGCCGCAGTTGCCTGTGGTCCCCTGGCTTATTCCTTTTCACTACTGGAAGATGTAGGTTACTGGGTCAAGGTCTTCATCTTTACTCAACTCCTTTCACCATTCTTAGTGACTCTTCAACATCCACTTAGGAAACCCATCTGACGGGTGCTTGCTTTACATGCTTCCTGCAAAAAGGGCACGGAGGAGGCATCTGACCTCCTCCAACCTCATGAGGGGGAGACAGAATCACCATCAGCAGCCCAAGGCTTCTTCCTTTGAGGCCAGACATGCCGCCACCCTCCAGCCTTTTACCAGTTCTGTCAGCAACAGTCCCTCCCACGGCACTCATTACTTCTCTACTGGTTTCGATCATTCATTACTTCTCTACTGGTTTCGATCATTCATTGCAATGGTCACAACTCGCAGACAGTATTCACGATTGTGGGGTTTATTAGGGAAGTAACAGGCTACAATTCAGGTTCAGGAACGCGCTCAGGATACAATTCTTCCATCAGGAAAGTCTCCCCTCTGCTGTGCCCTCAGACGTGCCCCTCTGCCCTGTGGCCTCTGCCCTGCTCGGGCAAGTGTTACAAAGCTCTTTTTGCTCTGCAGATAGGTGCACCCCATTCCATCAGCAAGCCTCCTGCCCAAGGGCACTCGGCTTTCTCACTCTGTGGGCTAGGTCAGCCCACTGCTGTCTCGCGGCTCTTAGTTCCACTGGGACTGTGTCTGTGGCTCTCTCTCCGCTGTGTGTCTGTGCCAAGCAGGTCCAATGCAGGGCTCTGAGGTCCAAGGATGCACTTTACTGCACCTCCAGCTCTCCTCTCTTGGTGGCAGTGAGATCCCCACATTAGACCTCCTTGGCAAAGGCACTCTGGCACAGAGATGCATGGCAGAGAAAGCTCCAGTAGTGTAGTGCCTAAGGCATTTGACTGCTAACCAGAAGGCTGGCGGTTCAAACCCACCAACCACTCCTCAGAAGGAAGGTTGGGCAATCCACTTCTGTAGTGATACCACCTCAGAAACCCAAGGAGGGGTCGCTATGAGTCAGATCCGACTCTTTGGCAGTGAGTTTTTCTTGGAAGGCTAGATAATACTAGTCCCCCAGCAACATGCCCAAATGTCAGTCACCATGTATACTGACTGTGGGAAACTAAAGGGAATGTCACACACTCTTCTATTCACAGATCACTTAGGTAAATAATGGAAATGAATCGTGCTCCCCCTCTCCAAGGCCGTCGGTGGCCGGCCACTGCACGTTATTCAGCTCCTCCGTTTATAGACATCAGAGTGTGTAATTGTGCTGCCTCATCTCCCAGACAGAAACCCACGTGCTGTTTTACAAAAATGCATAATCGCAAGGGGAACTTGCCAACAAAGGTGAAAGTCCAGCAGAGAAGAAAAAAGTGAAAATGTTGGACATGAAATCTGGTTTGATTAGAAAGTCTGAAAGCAACAACAGCAAAGCAAAGATAGGCTGAGACCTAGGCCTGTGTGAAGAATAGGGAAGAGTCCAAAGAGTGTGAAAAACCAGGTAAGAGGCTTCAGTATCTTTTAGCTTCAATTGCTCTGGGCACAGAAAGTCTGAGTTGAAATGGAGACAGACTTCTTTGGATTGAAGACTGTATTAATAATTTTAAAAGTAACCAATTTCGCTAGCATTCAAAATGAAGTGTTGAAGTCAGTTGTCCTATTGAAAGAAATCAGTAACTATGAAGAGACTGAAAAGAACATTTTACTGCTGGCCAAAGCTGGCTTCATTTTAGAAACCGAGGATTGATTACTGTGAAGTCATCTGGTGAAGCTGCTGCAGGTAATGCACCCAGATTCTAGTGAGAAGCTGCAACCGAGGGGTGAAGCTGTCCAGAAGGGACGCCCTCCAGTGAGGAAGCTCCTGGAGCTGTCATACAACATGGAGAAAACCGCTAAAATGTTGGAAGCTGATCCAAATTTATAAAGGAGTACAGCAATTCATCAAGTAAAGAAGATAAATCAGAATGAGAAGGTGGCAAGCAGGGTTCAAGCTACTACTGTTTTTTAAAAATTTATTTTGACATGAAATAATTCTATTTCTACTGTTTTCAATTACAATGTACTAAATATGAGCTTTACAATTTTTTTCATTTCCCGATAAATTAATAAGAGGTCCCTGGACAGCACAGATTATTTGTGCTTGACTGCGAACCTAAAGGTTGGAAGATCAAACCCGCCCAGTGGCATCAAGCAAGGAAAGTCTGGTGATCTGGCTCCATCAAGACTGCAGGCCAGAACACCTGGAGTCCTTGTAGTTTGTAACACAGGGGGTCACCATGAGTCAGAGCTGCCCAGATAGCCAGACGTTCTTATTCATTTCCACGGAGTCCCTCGGGGATGCAGCCTGCTAGTGTGCTTGGCTGCTTACTGAAAGGGTGGTGGTTCGAGGCCACCCAGGCAGCTCGGAAAAAAGGCCCGCGGATGTACTTCAGAAAAAGCAAGCACTGCAGACCTCGTGGAGCACGGCTGGACCTGACACATGGGCTCCGTGAGTCCGGGACAGCAGCTAGTTGGTGGTTTTGATTCGTAAAGAGCAGCTCACCGGAGTGACCTTTCTTAGCGCCCCACCCTGTCTCGCACGCTGGCAGACTAGTTCACCTGCGATGAAATGTTTTCAATTCGCATTTAGTCCTGAGACAGAATAGCTAAGAACAGTACAGCCAAGTAACTAGTAGGCCCGTTTAACATTAAACTCCGCAGAGTCGGGCTGAGTTCCCTTCAGTGGGCTCCGGGTCGGTGAAGGGGAGCTGGTCTGAAGTGGAGGGAGGAAGCAAAGCCAGAATATGAGCGCCCCACGCAGTCAGTGCCGTCACTGACTCCATGCAAGTGAGAAGGCCAGGAAGCGGTGGCCGGAGCGATGAAGGTCGTTTGCATTAAGGTCTTTTGTCTGTGGAGTGTAGGCACAGTGCAGGAACGGAGGCCATTCCTCCCCGAAGGCCCACGACATTCCCGATTGCCTGCACTCACGTATCACCTGCACGCTGAGACAGTGACGTGTCCCTGGGAGGTCAGCGTTCACCAACTTCCGGCACCCGTCTGCTTCGCACCGCCGTTTCCCATGGGCTTTTTAAGGTTTGCTTCCTTTTTTTTTTTTTTTTTTTTAAACGAAGTTAGAAGTGCCACCAGGCGGCTTGAGGACGTTCCATTAAACAACTGCATTTTCTTGGTCCCTCGCGGTGCCCAGTACTGGGCTACGCACCGCACGCTCCTGCGGACGGTCTGCCCGGCGAACGGCGACGGCGTTGCAGGGAGGCGCCGAGGGCCCCGCGACTCGGCGTGCGTCCCGAGCCCCTGCTCTGGGGCCCGGGGCGGCGCCGCGTGCTCGCGCGCTCAGGCCCCTTGGCGCTTGGCGCGCGGCGGCGGCTGCCTAGAATTCAGCGGCAGGCGCGCGCGGGCTCGGGGGTTGCGCGCCCGCCGCCGCCAGGGCCGCAGGCGGAACGTGTGCGGTGGCGCTAGGGGCTGCGTGCGTCCGGGCGGCGAGAACAACGGCGGCTCACGGGGGAGGGCGCGCTCGGCGGAGGCAGCGCCGGGTCGGGGGCGGCGGAGCCGGGGCGTCGGGAAGGGGATGAGAGACCGGTAACGACGGAAGGGGCCGCCCCGGGGTTGCGGGAGCACACAGGGGCGCCGCCCACTGGCGAGCGCGGGCCGGAAGCGCGCCGGGACGCCCTGCGGCGACGGGAGGGGCGGGGTCTAGCAGCGTGCCCGCCTCGAGGGTGCGCAGAGCGCGCTGCGGGCCGCCAGTGGGAGCGGGGCCGAGGGGCGGGGCCGGAGGAGGGGGCGGGGTCGTGGGGGCGTGGCTGAG